CAAATGTATATAAGGAAAATATTTACAAGTTGTTTTATAGATGGTATATAACACCTGAGAAATTACCGAAATTTTATTCAAAATGTTCAGATAAATGTTGGAAATGTGAGAACAAAATGGGATCCTTTTATCATATGTGGTGGCTATGTGAAAAAGCTAAGAAATATTGGGTGGGGATCCATGAAATATTGCAGAATATATTGAAATGTCATATACCTTTTACCCCAGAAATATTACTTTTGAATATTTTACCAGACAATTGAAAAAGAGAAGATTCTTATCTTATATTGTATGTATCTACCTCTGCCAGAATACTGTATGCTAAATATTGGAGGAGTCAAGAAATGCCAAGCAAAGAAGAGATTATTAACAAAATACTTGAAGCAGCAGAAATGGACAAACTTACTTTACTTTTGAAAGAGTATTCAGAAAAGACTTTTGAAAATATTTGGGCAAGATTTTATAAATGGTACAAGAACTATATTCGTGACAAGACAAGGTTAACATGTAAGCATATAAGAAGGCAAAGACTATAAAATTATTGATTTCTGTATAAATAGTTTGCAAAACAGTTTAAAAATTGGTTTTATCTTTAAGGTTGTAAGCTTAAAATGATATATAACTGGCAACAACAATAAGCTTTATCTATAATGTACCCCCAGTTTTATGTTTTTATGTGTGTTTTGTGTATGTTAGGGTTCTCTGTGTTATAGAAAATAAATAAAATTGTATACGAAAAAGACTGATCACCTTCTAGAGCAGGGGTGTCGAACTCATTTGTTTGGAGGGGTGGAGACCTTGTTGGGCAGGGCCATGTGTGTCATAAAATGTAATACCAGGTATCGGAAACAGGGCTATTTTTGGGCAGGAACACACAGGAACGGAGTTCCGGCTGGCTTCCGAGTTGGCCACGCCCAGCAGGAACTCATTAGCATAATAGGCCACACCCAACAGCAGAAACTCATTAGGATTGGCTACATTAGGGGTGTGTGGCCTAACATGCAAAGGAGTTCCTGCTACAAAAAAGCCCTGGGTTTTGACCACAAACAAGGTAAACAGAATAAGAAGCAAAAGGTGGGTGTGGCTGGATGACCACACTTCTGGTAACATGGGGGTGCGTCCTAATGTGCTAATGAGCGGTGCTGTCAGGGGTGTGGCCCAATATGCTAATGGGTTCCTGCTGTTGGGTGTGGCCTATTATGCTAATGAGTTCCTGCTGGACTTTTTCTACAAAAAAAGCCCTGATCGGAAACATAAACTTTATAAATGACACAAACACAAAAAGGGTTGTTGTTTTTTTACTTAAAATAAAAACATGCTTAAAACATCAGCACTCTTGCAATCTTTTGTTTCTTTGTCTGATAACTGACACCTCTTGCTCTGAATTATTGCATCAAAATGTCTGTCCTGTCACAATCCTGAGCATGCTGTTCAGGTGTGTATCTGTAAGCTACGATGATGCTGTTCAGTATGCTGTTGAGTCTGCTGTTCAGGTGTGTATCTGTAACCTACGATGATGGAGCAGCAGCAGAACGGGAAGAAGAAGCAGAAGACAGCCAGTTCCACTGCGGGCCTGAGAGAAGCCCTCCGGGGGGGGGGGGCCCTGATCCGGCCCCCGGGCCGCATGTTTGACACCCCTGTTCTAGACCCTGTAGGGACCAGACTGGTTAGATGTCCCAGACACTTCAGGCGCCGTGAGGCAATATATTAAGCAGATCCACCACCAGGCAGATCTAGAGCGCACCGGGAAGGATGGGAGAATCTACGGACTTCTTGAGAAAGCCTAACTCAAAGGCTTTGGGGCAGAAGATCTGGGACAACGCCTCCAGGGGTCTCGGCAAGAGATATTTTAGAATGAGGAACAGTCGTTGTCGCCCGTTTTTTACCTCTGCTGTCTAGTGGTCTGTCGGGTGCCTTCTCCCAGCCATCTTTACGCCAAGGCTTCTCGTACCGCCATGATGACCTTCTGCAGCTTCTCGGGGTTTCTCACGAAGCCATCTCCGTTCTTCCAGAAAGAAGGCGAGGGTTTGGTTTTTTTTTTTAAAAGGGCCTTTTCTAATACTCTTCTTTTAAGATACGGGTGGCCCATCCTCATTTGCCCGGGGGACGGGGGCAGAAAAGAATATCCCTGAAACAGTGGCTCACAGACAGAGGATCGTTAACCTACTTACTTCTCCAGCCCTGTCCAAAAGGAGCCATTACAGAATCCAGTTTCCCAAAGTGAAGATCTCTCAGTCTTTTGAGCCCTCCCTCCTGTTTCTGCTCACTGTTAGTCCTGTTCAGATTCCAAGGGCAAAAATGCCTTGTTGTGATACTTAGCCTAATCTGTGGGGAGGAGATGAAAGTTCCTAGAAGCTGAAGCTCCATTTGCGGTTTGTACCATTTACAATGGTACCTGTCAGTCCCCATCGCCTCCATGACAGGCTCTGTACATATGAATTAGAATTCTTGGGAGACAAGAAATACCCTAAACTTCAGCCCATGTACTAATTTGCAAGGTACCTCATGCATCACTTTGCAGAGACCAGAAAAAGAAGAAGAGATTAGATTTATACCCCACCCCTTCACTACCCAAAGGAGTCTCAGAGCGGCTTACGATCTTCTTTCCCTTCCCCTCCCCACAACAGACACCCTGTGAGCAATGTTCCCTCTAAGCTGTGGAGTCTTGTGAGCAAAAAACTCTACTTTGTGAGCTGCTGCCATTAAAGTTGCGAGTGAGAGATTTGGCTGCTGCATAAACTAGCTTGTTCTGGAGCCCTCCTCCCTGAGCGAAGACAAAAATGTGTGAGCTGGAGGCTAAAAAACTGTGAGCTAGATCACACTAACTCATCTTAGAGGGAACACTGCCTGGGAGGGAGGTGGGGCTGAGAGAGCTCTCTCTCGAGGACTGCCCTTGAGAGAACAGCTCCGAGAGAACTTGTGACTGGCCCAAGGTCACGCCAGCAGCTGCATGTTGGAGGAGTGGGGAATCAAACCCGGTTCTCCCAGATTAGAGTCTGCGCTCCTATCCACTACACCAAACTGGGTCTCCTGTATGGCACACAGGGCAGTGAATTTTGTGTTCTCACAGGGATATTCCCCCCACTACCACCCCGAATCTATGTTCATAGAACTCTTGGCCTCCGTGCCGTATAGTTTCTTACCTCCTTGGAATGCACCAGCTTCCCTCCGACAAACACTTCGAACCATCCTGTGAACCCGGGAGCCCTGTCAAGTCTCTAGGTCGAAAGAGGGGGGGGAGGACAAAGCATTGCATGTTTGAATTCTCACTTACTGCACGCTTTCAGAACGCCTCCCTCCAAGTGTTTCTGAACAGGGGTCATTTCCTGCAGGAGCGCACAGGAGCGGAGCTCCGGCAGTAAAAGAGCTCAGTGGGCGGGCACATGCAACAAGCCCCACCCCCTGCTCCCAGCAGCCCTCAGTCAGAGCAAGAAGCAGCCAGGTAAATTGCAGAGCCCCCCCCCCGGCCCTTGAGTCCAAAACAGTCCAGTGGCACCTTTAAGACAAATTTTATTCAGGTACAAGCTCTCCCTCCTCTGCGAGGACAGATCTGCACGTCCCCCCCCCCCCACACACCAATAGCTAGCAATCCAAAATAGTCCAGTGGAGCCTGAGCGGTGGGCGTTGCCTTCTGACTCACGTCCGGTGATGTCAGGGGTGTGTGGCATATGCAAATAAGTTATGCGAATGAGTTATGCTAATGATAGGGTTGCCAAGTCTGGCAAACTCACCGGCGGGGGAGGCTGCGCCGGGTCCGGGAGCTGGCTCCGTAAGCGCACGGAAGTGACGTGCGACATCACTGACGTTGGGGGCGTGGCCCAGATCGTCGGGGGGAAACCATATGGCTTTCCCCCGGACGATCTGGGACACGCCCCCAACGTCAGCGACGTGGCTTTGGGGGGCGGAGTTCCCCCCGGGGCCCGATTCCGCCGCGGCGGAAATTGGGCCTCCAAAGCGGGCGTTTCCCCACCCCCCGCCCCCACTTGGCAGCCCTAGAACCTCTTTTTCTACAAAATGCGGCAATATGCCTTGAGACAAACCAGAGACGCTTAGTCACTAAAGCGTGGCTCACAACTTTTAAATTTCGGCTGCGCCTCCTCTATCGAAGCGAGCCAAACAGTCTCATCGCTTATATGCTATCTGAATCTCAGCTATCAGATTGGTTGACACGTGTTGAAGGGAAAATTACACTGATGGGGCCCAGCATGGACGATTTGACCTTTCTTCCGGAGAAGTATGCTTTTGGCATGATTACATAGAGACTGATCGATGTAAAAATGCAAGAAAACTTGCTACTGGACATTGCTCCCCCATTCATTGGGGGATTTCTCTTAACGGCCCGCTTCCAGAGTATTTTTCTTGTCTGATCGATCCCTATATTAGAAGGGTATTCACGCTGGCCCGTTTTAACGTGCTCCCCTCCGCTGTGTTATATGGGAGATTTTAAGAAATACCATTCTTGGATAGGTTATGTCCCTGTGGGCTAAAAGAGATGGAAGGAACGGACCATGTACTTCTGACCTGTAGATTTTGTAATGTATTGAAAGGCTTACGCGAATCGCCTCATTAACCTCCCATGTAAAGCCTCAAGCCAAGCCACGGCTCCTCCGAACGAACTTCCTATCGGCCGCTCTGTAGCAGCGACTAGTCAGAACTGTACCCGTTCCCTGCGAGGGAAAGACTCTCATTGGTCCTTATCCAAACAACCTCATTGGTTGATTATTGCAAATAGGCGTGGCTACGTTCGCCCGGGAACGTTTAAAAGGAGCCTGGCTCCCAATGTGAATCTGTTCTGGTTATGAATGCTTTCAAACGCTTGTTTGTTACTTCAATAAAGCTGATTCACTTTGCTGAAATCACTCTCTGACTCCTTGTTAGCGGCGATCTAACAGATTTTACCAGGATTTACGTGCTTATCACCTCGTCCGTAGACTGCGATCCCTGGAGGGCAAATCTGAGGAAAGTAAGTTAATGAACATTCTAGCCTCAGACAGGGCTAGGGTTGCCAAATCGGACGTTGGGGGCGTGGCTGAGCTCGTCGGAGGGGAAAACCATCTGGTCGGGGGGAAGAAGATTTGGCAACCCTAGACTCCCCACCGCGGGGGGAAGAAGATTTGGCAACCCTAGACTCCCCACCGCGGGGGGAAGAAGATTTGGCAACCCTAGACAGGGCCGATACCATCGAAGCGGGTGGCAAACTTCCTTTACAGAGTGTATAGGAGGAGAAGTTCCTTTTCGGCAGAAGGGATAGTGAATTAACTGTTTTGCTTGTTTGCCGTTTTTGTGCCGAAGTGTGTTGTATTGGAATGCATGTAAACTGCTTATGGAATTGTGATGTATTTGGAATACATGTAAACATCTTATGGAAACATCTCATAGGAATGTTATGTTAAGCTTCGCCCTGGACTAGGATCCAAAGTTACCCAATCGTATCTCTGGTCCAGGAAGTTACAACCAATCACTCAGAAGCAAGTTCCCGGAGCGGGAACGACCGTGATTGGTCCTTATGTCTTCAACCTTATTGGTTGTTAAGTGTACAGTGGGCGTGGCTATATTAGCCGGGAATGTTTAAAAGCAAGGCTTCTACAATGTAAAAGCCGTATCGTATCGTATCATTCTGTTCTGGCTATTCTGATGTTGATTCGAGTTGGAGTTGTGTTCGAGTTGAAGAATAAAGTTGTGTTCTTGCTGAATCACTCTCCGACTACTTTGTTAAGTGAGCGACTTAACACGAGGGCTGCTGTTGTTATGCCAATAAAGGTTTGTTGTGTTGCTGAGTCTCACTATCACCCTGCAAAAACCAAGAGGCCGCTTCAGAACACACTTGCGTTTCAGAGGACGCAGCAGTGGGGTTAACCAAGGAACTTTTCCGGGTTTCCCCAGAAGAACGCTGGTGGCTTACAGGACCTAGTAGCCATTTCTGCTAAGCGGACCAGACATCCGTCACAGCCAATTTAAGGCATTTCTGCGGTGGGACTCAGTCTGAGAGCCAGGCAAAAAGCACATCTTTCGTTCTGTATTAAGGAACAGGCTGCACGCATATCGGATTCCTTCCCTGAAAGGGCCAGACCAGAGTCCCACTCCCGTTCAGAGATCACACAAGTGTACAAACACAAGCAGGCCTGAGCCAGTAGCCCCGGGATATACTCACTATTTCCAGCTTGCCCGGAAATTCTTTCTCGAGTTCCGTCTCGAGGTACCTAGCCTAGGTGGAAGAGAGGGTGAGTGAAGTTAAGTTCAAGTTGGGTGAAGATGTGTAGCTCCCAAAGAAATCAAGGCCCTTTTAGACCTGGCTTGGGAACCCGGATTCTGAAAGGGGGCTTTTACTATGGCTATTTGTGGGGCGGGGCTTTTAATTAAGGGGGCGGGGTCCCGATATGACCCGCTGTAGCTAGCTATGGGCCTGGTTGGACATCTGAGCTCCTCCAGCTCTGGTAACTACGAACCACCCCAACCAACGCTCTCCCTAAGCTGTGGAGTCTTGCGAGCAAAAAAATGTCTACTTTGTGAGCTCCTGGCCTTAAAGTCGTGAGCGAGCAATTTTGCTGCTGAGTAAATTAGTTTGCTCCGGAGCCAGGCTCGTAGCTACAGTGGGGCATATCGGGGCTAGGCCCCCTGACTTACTGGCAAGGCCCCCGACCTCCCATCCAGCCCAGGGCCTCCAAACGGCGCCAGGCGTGGGGAAGGAGGTTATTCCTGCATAGCCGTCTGGCGCAAAGGGCCGGCTACGGTGCTGCATGGAGCCAGACGGCACCTCTCTATTCCCCATGGAAACTTAATTAAATTACTTTTAATTCAAATGCCCCCCGACTTTAAAAGTCCTGTCTACGGGCCTGTCCGGAGCCCTCTTTCCTGAGCGAAGACAAAAATGCGTGAGCTGGAGGCTAAAAAACTGGGAGCTAGCTCACATGAACTCAGCTTAGAGGGGACGCTGCCGGGGACCCAGACCCTCCTCAAACAGCACAAGACTTTCCAAGCTCCACGGACTCCCACGGTCGACCGGGGCCTCCCGAATTCCATCCCCCCCCCCCCCCCCTTCCCACAGCAGGCTTGTGTCTGGCAGACCGAAGTTACGAGACAGTCGTTGCTAGGCACATGACTGGGTGCGTCAGCGAGTATCAACCTGGCCCCAGACCAACCGCTGCATCAGTTTTCTGGAACTGATCGCAATGTTAAGTCGCTACTGACGGGGACGGCTTCAGTGGAGCATCAGGCAGTGCAATTGACTTACGCACAGGCCGTAGGTTCAGCGACGGCTGCAAAGAGAAATGACAATAAATACAGCAGGACCACGGAGATACCGCACTCAGTGAAACAACCACAAAATATCCCGTGAAATAACTATGTTCAAGGACTGCTACCACCAGGGGTCATTTCCTGCAGGAGCGCACAGGAGCGGAGCTCCGGCAGTAAAGAGCCCAGGGGGCGGGCACATGCAACAAACCCCACCCCTGCTCCCAGCAGCCTTCAGTCAGAGCAAGAAGCAGCCAGGTAAGTTGCAGGGCCTCCCCTCCCGGCCCCAGTCCAGTGGCACCTTTAAAACCAACTTTTATTCAGGTACAAGCTCTCCCTCCTCCGCGAGGACAGATCTGCACATTCCCTCCGCCCCCAATAGCTAGCAATCCAAAACAGTCCAGTGGAGCCTGAGCGGTGGGTGTTGCCTTCTGACACACTTCCAGTGACGTCAGGGGGTGTGGCCTAAGCAAATGAGTTATGCTAATGAGTTATGCTAATGAGCTCCTGCACCTCTTTTTCTGCGAAATGACCCCTGGCTACCACTCAGTGAAGCACAGATGTTACTGAAACAGACTACATACGGGAGTCACGGACTGCGCTGGACCACCTAGTCCGAGGAGGGCTCCCGTCCCTGCACAACCCCAAGGGCGTGGGGCAGGGCACGCAGGATCGCAGCCTATTAAGAACCGGGAGAACCGTGCCTTTTGGGCCAGGCGAAGGTTTTTGTAGATCCCTTAACGGTTCTGGCTGCACCCATCGCAAAAACCAAAGGGCCAGTCCACACACACACAGAGGCTGGCAAACTCCCAAAATGCTTGGTATGCAAGCACAAAGACACGGAAGTCCGGTATAAAGAGGGATTCTATAGGCATAGGCCAGAGGCATCATTTAAGGGGGTCAGGCTGGATTAGGGTTGCCAGCCTCCAGGTGGGGCCTGGAGATCTCTCACTTTTATGACTAATCTCCAGCTGACAGAGAGAAGAAGAGGAGGAGGAGGAGATTGGAATTATACCCCACCCTTCACTACCCGAAGGAGTCTCAGAGCGGCTTACAAACTCCTTTCCCTTCCCCTCCCCACAACGGACACCCTGTGAGCAGTGTTCCCTCTAAGCTGAGTGAGTGTGAGCCAGCTCACAGTTTTTTAGCCTCCGGCTCAACAGGTTTTTGTCTCAGCTCAGGAAGGAGGGCTCCAGAGCAAACTAGCTTGTGCAGCAGCCCAATCGCTCACTCACAACTCTAATGCCAGTCGCTCTCAAGGTAGAATTTTTGCTCACAAGACTCCACAGCTGAGAGGGAACATTGCCTGTGAGGGAGGCGGGGCTGAGAGAGCTCTTGACAGAAACTGCCCTTTTTCAAGAACAGCTCTTTTCGGAACTACGGCTTGCTCAAGGTCATCCAGCAGCTGCAAGTGGAGGAGTGGGGAATCTAACCTGGTTCTCCCAGATTAGAGTCCGCACACTTCACCACTCCACTCCAGCTCCCCTGGAGAAAATGGCTGCTTTGAAGGGCATTGCACCCTGCTGAGGCCCCTCCCCTACCCAAACCCCGCCCTCTCCCGGATCCACCCCCAAAGTCTCCAGGAATTTTCCAGCCCAGACCTGGCAACCCTAGGCTGGATACGGCCAAGGCCCGAAGAGATCACTTTTTCCAGGGGTCATTTCGTAGAAAAAGAGCTAGGGGAACTCATTAGCATAACTCATTAGCATATGCCACACCCCCTGACATCAGGGGCCCGGCGGTGGACCTGCAAGGCCAGCGGGAGTGCGAGGAAGCCCCGCCAAGGCCCTCCCTGGCCCCAGGCAGGCAGGGGTGGGGAGAGGCGGGGAGGAAGCAACTTACCCTCCCTCTTCTCCTGCCTCCTCCTGGATGAATGAGGGCCGGAAATGGGGGGCAGGGCTTCGTCGACGTGCCCCCCCCCCCCGGCCCCCCCCCCGGGGGACCCCGTTTCCCCCCCGTTCCCCCCCCCCCGAAATGACCTCTGACTTCTTCGTCACCAGTCAATACCTTCTGAAGTCATTCAAGGAGAATTCCCTCTTCTCCAGGTGGAGGTGAAACCATAGAAACCTGCCCCTCTCTATCTGTTATCCAGGGCTCTTTTTGTAGCAGGAACTCCTTTGCGTATTAGGCAACACACCCCTAATGTAGCCAATCCTCCAAGAGCTTACAGGGCTCTTCTTACAGGGGCTACTGTAAGCTCTTCTGTATTGACTGCAGAAGGTACCATAAAATCCAATGCTCCAAGAAAGCAAAAGTGGCGTGTGGTGTGGAGGGTACCGTTAAACCCAATGGTCAAAGGAAGCGAGAGCGGCATGCAGGGTAGAGGGTACCATAAAATCCGATGATCAAAGGAAGCGAACGCGGCATGCGGCGTGGAGGGTACCATAAAACTCGGTGGTCAAAGAAAGCGAAAGCGGCACGCAGGGTAGAGGGCAATGCTCCCTCTAAGCCGTGGGGTCTTGCGGGCAAAAAAATCCTACTTTGTGAGCTACCGGCATTAAAGTTGTGAGCGAGCGATTTGGCTACTGCATCCTTCCTGAGCGAAGACCAAAAACTGTGTGAGCCAGAGGCTAAAAAACTGTGAGCTGGCTCACACTAACTCAGCTTAGAGGGAACACTGGTAGGTAAAGGTCTCCCTTGCTCGAAAGCCAGTCGAGTCCGACTCTAGGGTTGCGGTGCTCATCTCCGTTTCCAAGCCGAAGAGCCAGCGCTGTCCGAAGACGTTTCCGTGGTCATGTGGCCGGCATGACTAAACACCAGGGCGCACAGAACGCTGTTACCTTCCCACCGAAGTGGTCCCTATTTATCTACTTGCAATTTCTTGCTTTCGAACTGCTAGGTTGGCAGGAGCTGGAACTAGAGACGGGAGCCGTCATGTGGCAACTCGGGTCTCGAACTGGTGAACTACTGACCTTCCACAGCCTGCAGTTCAGCATCTTAACCACTTGAGCCACCGGAGCTGGTAGAGGGTACCATAAAACCCGATGATCAAAGAGTGCAAAAGCGAGACGCAAGTTCGAGGGCACCATAGAACCCGATGGTCAAAGGAGGCGAAAGCGGCATGCAACGCAGGGGGGGGGGGATTTCTGTTCCAACCTGGGTTTCGTTGAACAACGGGAGGGGAAAGGCCAACGCACGACTCTGCCCTCGAATGGTCTAAAAGGCGAAGGAGCCCTCGGAAACTTACCCGCTGCAACGAGAAGAAAGAGGCAAAGATGCACCAACAAGCCATCAAACCCCACCCAAATGATTCCAACCGAGCCAGCTGCCGACGGGGCAAACGACACGCGACTGCGCCTCCAGACGTGCTCGCGGGCCCTTTAAAAAAATTAGAAGCGCCCCACTTTGCCCCCCCGCCCGCGTCCTGCTTACGCGTAGATCACCCGGACTTCGAGGGGACCGGCGGCGGCGGCGGCGCCCCCCGCAGCCCCCTCGTCCTCCGCCTCCCGGGTGGAACGTCCAGCCCCCCTCCGTTCTGCTTTGGAACGTCGCGACAAGAGACTTTTCAGCCGGTGAAGGAGGGAGCGGGAAGGCTCCATTCTCTGGGAAGGGGGGGAGAGAAAGGGAACCGGCGCTCGACCCTCTCCTCCGCTCTGGCTCGGGCTCCGGCCGCGCCCTGAGGACAGCAGCCGGGTGTCCCCGGGCCCCCCCCCCCCCCCCCCCCGCAGCATATTGGCCAATGAGTTGCCGCTTCTCCCTCCCCCGCCCCCTGGGCCAAATTTGTACTCTGACGCCAGAAAGGATTCATACTCCTTTCCTATTCTCTTTGAGTTGTTTTCAGGGCCATTTTTGGGCAGGGCTGGCTCCCGAGTTGGCCACGCCCAGCAGGAACTCATTAGCATAACAGGCCACACCCAACAGCAGAAACTCGTTAGGATTGGCTACCTTAGGGGTGTGTGGCCTGACATGCAAAGGAGTTCCTGCTCCAAAAAAAAGGCCCTGGGTTTGGACCACAAACAAGGTCAACAGAAAAAGAAGCAAAAGGTGGGCGTGGCTGGATGAGCACACTCCTGGTAACATGGGGGTGCGTCCTAATGTGCTAATGAGCTGTGCTGTCAGGGCTGTGGCCTAATAGGCTAATACGTTTCTGCTGTTGGGTGTGGCCTATTATGCTAATGAGTTCCTGCTGGGCTTTTTCTACAAAAAGAGCCCTGGTAAGAACTTCTGAGCCTGTTTGGTGTCGTGCCAGTTTGGTGTAGTGGTTTAAGTGCTCGGACTCTAATCTGGGGGGACTTGGGTTCGGTTCCCCACGCTTCTCCTTGCAGCTGCTGGATGACCTTGGGTCACTTACAAGTCCTCTCAGAACTGCTCTCTCTCAGGAGCAGTTCTCCAAAGAGCTCTCTCAGCCCCACCTACCTCGTAGGGGTGTCTATGGTGGGGAGGAGAAGGGAAAGGAGATTGTGAGCCGTTCTGAGACTCCAAGGGAAGGGCTCTGTGGGGAGGGCGGAATAACAACAATAACACTTTCCTGCATCAAAACCATGCGGTCCATAAATGTTTCCCTTGCTCAGGGGTCATTTTGTAGAAAAAGAGGTGCAGGAGCTCATTAGCATAGCTTATTTGCATAACTTATTTGCATATACCACACCCCCTGACATCACCAGAAGTGTGTCAGAAGGCAACACCCAGGCTCAGGGGCCACTGGACTGTTTTGGATTGCTAGCTATTGGGGAGGGGGGGGAACCTGCAGATCTGTCCTTGCAGAGGAGGGAGAGCTTGTACCTGAAGGGGGGGGCTCTGCAACTTACCTGGCTGCTTCTTGCTCCTCCTGGCCCAACTGAGGGCTGCTGGGAGCAGGGCTTGTTGCATGTGCCCGCCCCCTGGGCTCCTTACTGCCGGAGCTCCACTCCTGTGCGCTCCCACAGGAAATTACCTATATATATGGTGACTCTGTTTACATATATACCTTGACTCTGTATACTTCCCAAAATTAGAAAAGATGCCTTCTAACACTGATCTCACATTTTGACATATTTATTACCTTGCTGTCCTTTCCCCCCCTTAATTAAATCAAAATGACGGTTGCCCTTATAACCTTCGCTTGTTATTTAGTTTCACTTTGAATACCTTAAAGCATCTGAGTCACATTACACGATAATTTGCTGTTCAGCCTGCATCTATATAAGTTTGAAATCTAGCTTCCTTTCCAATGTATATGGCAAAGTGTGCGTGTATATGAAAGCTCACACCTTGAATAAACCTTTGTTGGTCTTAAAGGTGCCACTGGACTCTAAATTTGATATATAAATTTGGTATATTAGTTTGTAACCCCTCCTAGTGGACTTAGAGAGAACAATAGTGTCCCCAACCCCTTTTAACTCTCTGATCACCTTCATCTTCGGGCAAGAGTTTGGAAAATATGCTGCTCTTTGAGGAACCCTTTCCCGACTGACAATGCTGTGAAGGAACTCCCCTGGATCCCGATGTGGTTTCCTAAACCTTTTGCAGAAGCTGGCACAGACTGAAGACACATGATGCAGCCTTCTACTGAATCAGACCCTCTATCGCTAGCTATTGGGGGAGGGAACGTGCAGATCTGTCCTCACAGAGGAGGGAGAGCTTGTATCTGAAGGGGGGGGGCTCTGCAACTTACCTGGCTGCTTCTTGTTCCTTGTAGCCCGACTGAGGGCTGCTGGGAGCAGTGGGCGGGGCTTGTTGCATGTGCCCGCCCCCTGGGCTCCTTACTGCCGGAGCTCCGCTCCTGTGCGCTCCTGCAGGAAATTCCCCCTGCCGATATCTTAGATCATATTCTGCTGCACTGCCCCTTCCATTCACAACTATTTTTGATTAAGCCCTTACCGAGTAGGATCAATTCTGATAATGCAATCGGGTTTCTCCTTGCCGATAAGACGCCAGAAGTGACTGTACAGATGGCTGAATTTTTGTCTAAAATGTTGGTAGCCAGAAACTATTCTTAATATCGGTGTGCTCTAAGATTTATAGATGTAGTTTTAGCTTGACGAAGTTCTTATCTTACTGGTTTTATATGCCAATAAAGGTTTTTGTATTGTATCGTAATATTTTAGACAGGTCGGTAGATACGATACCGTTCGAAGCCAGTGGACTTAGAAGGGTGTTACTCCAGTTTGGAACAGCCAGATTTGAGTCCAGTTAGGAGACCAACAAGATTTTGGAGGTATCAGCTTTTGAGAGTCAAAGTCCCTTCGTCAGATATCTGCTTTGGATGACACTGATTAGGGTATTTATGAACATGGAAGAGCAACAGAATAAGTGTATTATATAGGTGTCGTGTACAGTATTTATTATAAATTCATTCATAACCTTGGAACAAACTTGAGTCCAGCGGCACCTTCAAGACCAACAAACTTTTATTCAAGGTGTAAACTTTCATGTGCAGGCACACTTCGTCACATACAGTGAGACAGAGTCTCGTCAACCATTACATATAGGAAGAGAGAGGTTGGGGGGGTTAATTGCCAGGAACGGATAGATTCAAGATGCATAATAACTGGGTGATACGTATAGCTGAGATTGGATTAAGACTGTTGTCAGGGCTATTTTTGGGCAGGAACACACAGGAACGGAGTTCTGGCTGGCTCCCGAGTTGGCCACGCCCAGCAGGAACTCATTAGCATAATAAGCCACACCCAACAGCTACATTAGGGGTGTGTGGCCTAACATGCAATTCCTGCTACAAAAAAAGGCCCTGGGTTTTGACAACAAACAAGGTAAACAGAATAAGAAGCAAAAGGTGGGTGTGGCTGGATGACCACACTTCTGGTAACATGGAGGTGTGTGGCCTAATAGGCTAATGAGCTGTGCTGTCAGGGGTGTGGCCTAGCATGCTAACAAGTTTCTGCTGTTGGGTGTGGCCTGTTATGCTAATGAGTTCCTGCTGGGCTTTTTCCACAAAAAAAGCCCTGCCTAATTCTATGTCTGCTTCTCACTTCTAAAGCACTGGAAGGCGAGGGGGGCATTGGTGAGACGCAGAGGGCAGGCAAGAAGGGTCTTTCCCCCACCTCACTCTCTCCCACCCCAGTTCCCCATCCATTGTCACTTCTCAGAAGGAGGAGGAGAAGAAGAGGAGGAGGAGGAGATTGGATTTATACCCTGCACCCTTCACTACCCAAAGGAATCTCAGAGCGGCTCACAATCTCCTTTCCCTTCCCCTCCCCACAACAGACACCCTGCAAGGTAGGCAGGGCTGAGAGAGCTCTCTCGAGGACTGCCCTTCAAGAAGAGAAGAGATTGGATTTACACCCCGCCCTTCACTACCCGAAGGAGTCTCAGAGCGGCTGACAATCTCCTTCCCCTCCCCACAACACACCCTGCGAGGTTGGTGGGGCTGAGAGAGCTACCTCTTGAGAACAGCTGTGAAATAACTTGTGACTGGCCCAAGGTCACACCAGCAGCTGCATGTGGAGGAGTGGGGAATCCAACCCGGTTCTCTCGGATTAGAGTCCGCGCTCCTAGCCTCTACACCAAACTGGTTCGCCCTATCTTTTAAGCTGTCTTTGCAGGCAGAAGGGCTAGAAATCTGATTTCTTTAAAAAAAAAAATGACAAACCAAGATTCAAGTCTAGTAGCACCTAGGTTTGCCAAAGTCCCCCCTGGCCACTGGTGGGGGATATGGGGTCGGGTTACCAGATCCAGGCTGGGAAACGCCTGGCGATTTGGGGGGTGGAGGCCGGGGAGGACAGGGACAGAGAGAGATCTTGGAGTTGTCGTAGATAACTCACTGAAAACGTCGAGACAGTGTGTGACTGCAATAAAGAAGGCCAATGCTATGCTGGGGATTATTAGGAAGGGAATTGAAAACAGATCAGCCAATATCGTAATGCCCCTCTATAAATCAATGGTGCGACCTCATTTGGAATACTGTGTGCAGTTCTGGTCCCCACACCTTAAAAAGGATATTATAGCTCTGGAAAAAGTGCAGAAAAGGGCAACTCGAATGATAAAAGGGTTGGAACGCTTTCCCTATGAGGAAAGGTTAAGGCGCTTAAGGCTCTTTAGCTTGGAGAAACGACGACTGAGGGGTGACATGATCGAGGTTTATAAGATTATGCGTGGGATAGAGCAGGTAGAGAAAGAGGTACTTTTCTCCCTTTCTCACAATACAAGAACTCGTGGGCACTCCATGAAATTGCTGAGCAGTCGGGTTAGAACGGATAAAAGGAAGTCCTTCTTCACCCAAAGAGTGATTCACACTTGGAATTCACTGCCACAGGAGGTGGTGGCGGCTACAAGCATGGACGGCTTCAAGAGGGAATTAGATAGGCATATGGAGCAGAGATCCATCAGTGGCTATTAGCCACAAGGTATAGATAGGGGCTCTGGGGCAAAGGATGCTCTGTATTCCTTGTGCTTGGGAGGGGGCAACAGTGGGAGGGCTCCTAGTGTCCTGGCCCCACTGCTGGACCTCCTGATGGCACCTGGTATTCCTGGCCACTGTGTGATACAGAGTGTTGGACTGGATGGGCCTTTGGCCTGATCCAACATTGGCATCTCTTATGTTCTTATGACCTCTGTGAGTCCACCCTCCAAAGCAGCCGTTTTCTCCAGGAAAACTGATCTCTGTAGTCTGGAGATGAGCAGTAATTCCAGGGGATCCCCAGGCCCCACCTGGAGGATGGCATCCTTAATAGCACCTTAGAGACCAACATTTTCAAGGT